ATTCCGCATACTCTAAGTATACCGGCCTTTTAGATGTACTGCATGGTAAGAACTTCTTATTCTCGTAACTTTTCATTCCAGGTATTCTTCCAGGAAGACTGATTCCATGGACTTCAGCGTAATTTCTGATGAAAGCAACAACCCGGAGAATATCATTATAAGTCAAAGCATGGTTTGGTGTCTTTCCAGCATTTCCGTGAACTCTAATAAAGTTAAGTACATAACATTGAATTTGTAAGTCTCATACCTTGGTATTAATCCATTCATTCTGTAGTTTTTCATGATTTCCTCAAACCTGCTTTTGCCACATGCATGTAGCTTCAGAAATGTTACTCTACATATCTAGTTGAAAAACGATTAATTTTGTGTTGTCACTCATAGTTACAAACCTTATGACCTTGATGCATGAACGTAAAAAATTGCCTCTTTCTCTCATTCTGTCTCCTGTGGTTGCCAGTCGACAATCCCCCCATGGTAGATGTTGCTGCCATTTGACTCATAATAGCAATTTCTTGAACAGGCTTTGCCATGGCTTGTATGTCACATCTATATGTTTTTATGTAAGAGTGACTGAACAGTGCATAGCAATTATCTGAGCAACCACATCCATGTTCAAAGAACTTTGATAATTCTTCTTCCTCCTGTAGGTCTTCCTTCCTCATGTCATCACCAGAGTGAGTAGTTGAAGTAGCTGGAGCATCAGGCATCGCTGATTCTAAACCAAGATCTGATACTTGTAGCTCCACAGCCACCTCAGGATCAAACAGTGGTGGATTAATATCTTCATCACAATCTTTTGTCTCTTTCTCTTCTTCTTTCCCTTCCTCTACCTCTTCTTCCATATCTTCTACTGCTTCATAGTCTGTCTCTATCAATTAACAAATACACTGTATAACTAAGTTTATTATAATAATATTGTGCATTTATACAGGTGATGGAATGTCATTGTTGTTATAGCTAACCGCTATTCACAGTTAGTATGTAAACAGTGTTATGAATAAGCTTACCACTAGTTTCATCACAAAAGTAGTCCCCAAGAACTGAAGCAACGTAGTCACTGTCTCGAGGACCTATTTCTTCATTTAACAAGCGAGCAATGTCTCTTTCTGTAGCCATAGCTTTTATAAGTAGTCTTCTTCGTCTTTGTTATACTTTAAATAGTTGCTATAGGGACTCCATGGTTACCTAATGACGCATTAAAGCCCTCCGTTTTTATTCCGTGGTCGCTCCGTGTAACATTCTCCGTGCACAATCAAGGTAAAATGTCGAAGGGCTTATAACTCGGCAAAGAAGACTTCGCTACCCCTGATTTTGGTATCAAATGAAAGGATTTTGTTTATATAACATGTTTATGTGATAAAATGAATTTCGCCCAGGTAAAGATTTTTCGTGATTATGAGCCCATAGCTCAAAATGATAATTCCCGCAGATAGCCTGGTTTTCTCATATCGGGTCACATATTATAAAACTGGCAGGAAAAATTAATTGCAAGGTGGGGTTAAGTTATGACATCATATTAGTCAAACCATTAATAAAAATGGCCACCAGTATGTATTTCCTCACTATTGTTTATTTAGCTATTTCATCTGGTGAATGCAGGCTTTACAAAGCTCTAAAGCTTGCAAAGTATGGCATAATGAAGGCAAACACTCAATCAAGCTTGTATGCAGTAAATGCTTTTGTGATA